CAAGGGCATCCTCAAAAGAGCAAACTAGTACAGTAAGAGATATTGAAATGATGGTATGGAGAAACTACTTTTAGAATACAAGAAAATTTGTTAGAAAAGCAGCTAACCAAACAGACTCAGTTGATGAAGGTAAACTCATTACAGAAAAATTTGAGCTCATAAATGTAGAAGGAATGATGGAAATTTAAAAATCAACATTTTGGCTTTTCGAGGAAGACGCGACCGCGGGTGCAGCGGAGGCCTGTTGTGCCCGCTTCTGCTCCTGACTCACCGCTGTTCGCTCTCGGCGACGAACAAGTCGGTCAGGAAGCCGCGCCGCAGCCATGGCTTTTAAATATACCGGAAAAACACCCGTGGAGCCGGAGGTGGCGATTCACCGAATAAGAATTACCCTAACCAGCCGCAAAGTGAAGTCCTTTGGAAAAGGTGTGTGCTGACTTGATCAGAGGCGCAAAGGAAAAGAACCTCAAAGTGAAAGGACCAGTTCGGATGCCCACCAAGACTTTGAGAATCACTACAAGAAAAACTCCTTGTGGTGAAGGTTCTAAGACTTGGAATCGTTTCCAGATGAGAATCCACAAGCGACTCATTGACTTGCATAGTCCTTATGAGATTGCTAAGCAGATTACTTCTATCAGTATTGAGCCAGGAGTGGAGGTTGAAGTCACTATTGCAGATGCTTAAGTCAACTGTTTTAATAAATTGATTACTGGTTGTTAAAAAAAAAAAAAATCAACATTTTGCAACTCCTAGTGAAATAACTGATTCAGACAAGTATTATCAATGAATGAAAAGACCATTGAATGAAAAGTTAACAGGGAAATGGATATTTTCATAAAGACTCAATTATGGTTATAGAATATAATAATAACCACCCTGCTAATTTAAAGTATAAGTGAAAGAAGTCACATTTCTTTCCCCCAACCTTTCCCTTGTGCTTCTGTAATCATCCTGCTTCCACTGCAGATATGAAAGGAAAAAAAGAATAAAGCTTATACTCCTTTCCTCAACATCCCACAAGAGAATTCTACCTTTATAAAATTCTACCTAACCTTCTTGCCACCTTCAGCTCTTCGAGCTGAGTAAGCAAGTTCTGTTTCTGGGCTTTTTGTCGTGTGAAACTGAGAAATAGGAGAGTTAGAACTGTTGAAGTAATAATGAGTTTGCATCACTAAAAGCCTAGAAAAAAGAGGTAGAATAAAAGAGAAGGGGAAGAAAAGGTCAGAGCTGCATGGACTCTGATTCTAGCAGTTTTTCAGAGACGTGAGAGATTAGTGAAGTAAAAGCAACAAAGAAGTAAAAAAAAAAAAAAAAGCATTACTGTGAAGTAAGAGAGGCAAATAAAGGTTAGGATTACTTTAAACTACTTTTGAAGTAGTTGATGAATTATTTTCAATGAAACCCCTCACACTAATTGAATCATATAAGAAACTTTGTTTGACATTCAGATTATATAATAAAAGTCTAAGGATTTCACAATAAATGTTCGCTACTTCCTTGACAATAGTCTGTCTTACATCCTCTTCTACCAGACTTGTGTAATGCCTTCTGCTCATCATACGAATCACTGTCTATTGGAGACCAGGCTGACTTCCTTCTTCTAAATCCAACTCATGCCATAATTCTAGACGTTAATGGCCAATGTAGATGACCCACCAAACAATTTAGGTTTGTGATTCCTGTGCCTCAGTTTCAATGACTTTTACCTATGCTCCTCTTCAACCACCTACACCCAGATTCAGAAACCCTGATATTGTCAGCAGCAGGAACTAATCCACACCAGAAATTTAGAACTCCAGTATTTCACTCTTTAACCATGTCCCCTCCCAGTTCTCTCACAGCCCTATTCTCTCTGTCCTTCTCTTTGGTATCACAGAGACCTTCAGATCCTTCTTGTACTTTCTCTCTATACATCGGACAGGTTTCCAGTCCACCCTGCTTTATTGCTTCCTTTGATCTTCTTCTATGAAGAGGACCAACAAACTCCTCAACATTTACCAATTACCTCCTAGAGTAACACAAGGTAATAAAAATCCTGTTTCTTCAAAAATCAATCAAAATTTGTTCTCACCTTCATCATGAAAATATCCAAGGAATCTTCTTGTCCTTTCATATGCATACAAGGGGTGAATCTGTTAGCACCTGAGAACTTTTTCTCCAGAAAATCTGCTCTTTGCTCTGCCTTTTCTCTTTCAAGCAGATGTGCTCTGTGTAAGATACCAGAAGGTAGCAATATCATGAAACCAACTCAACCAATTTTCAAACTTCAATTAAAAATAACAAAAGCAAAAATCCCCCATTTAAAACATTAAATATATGTATCAAGTAAAAATGCATTTCTTATGAAAAGAGCTATGCAGTTATCTAAGAATTTCTACGAAAAGGCTAGAAATGGTAAATAAATGGAGAGCAAAACAACCCAGTGTTAAGTCCTGTAGTTGGTTGATATTGAAACCTTTCTTTTTTTTTTTTGAGACAGGGTCTTACTCTGTCACCCTAGGCTGGAGTGCAGTGGCATGTTCATAGTTCACTACAGGCTCAAACTCCTGGGATCAAGCGATCCTCCCACCTCAGCCTCCAGAGTAGCTAGGAGTATAGGTGCCTGCCATTAACACTTGGCTAATTGTAGAGATGGGGTCTTGCTGTGTTGTCAGGCTGGTCTTGAACTCCTGGCCTCAAGCCATCCTCCTGCCTAAGCCTCCTCAAGTGCTGGGATTACAGGCATGAGCCACCATGCTGGCCTCCTATTTTAATAATATCTGAATGGAATCTTCAATTAGGAGTCAATGAGGGGAAAAAGGAACTAAAAATAATGATTCTCGATAGAGAATAGCATATAAAAAATGTGTTTAATCATCAGATATATAAATAGCTTAGATATAAGCAGCTAATTATTTGGTTCTTGTTTTGATTTCCAATTGCTAGGTATTGGTAATATTTTCTATCCTGAATCTTGGTTAAAGTTTTGGTCCATCTTCTATGGGTTTTTATGTCCTCTTCTATCTAAAAATTGCAGCCTACAGAATTAGTGGATTTAAGTCAGGTCAAAAGAAATTATCCTAATTACCTAAAGAGAAAATTTTAATTCAAGAAAGTATATTAGAGGCCAGGTGTGGTGGCTCACGCCTGTAATCCTAGCACTCTGGGAGGCCGAGGCGGGAGGATAGCTCGAGGTCAGGAGTTTGAGACCAGCCTGAGCAAGAGCAAGACCCTGTCTTTACTAAAAATAGAAAGAAATTATCTGGATAACTAAAAAAAAAAAATTTACAGAAAAAATTAGCCGGGCATGGTGGCGCATGCCTGTAGTCCCAGCTACTCGGGAGGCTGAGGCAGGAGGATCGCTTGAGCCCAGGAGTTTGAGGTTGCTGTGAGCTAGGCTGATGCCACGGCACGTACTCTAGCCCGGGCAACAGAGTGAGACTCTGTCTCAAAAAATAAATAAATAAATAAATAAAAATCCTGAATGAAAAAAACCTCACAACCCAGAATTTTATACTCAGTGAAATTATCCTTCAAAATTGAAGATGAAATAACATGGTTTCAGAAGTTAAAAAAAAAAAAAACAGGAAAAACTCTCTTTCAGAGAGCACACTAGGCTTGTCCAAAGGTAGTGAGATATCTCAACTGATTGTTCACAGTCAGTTACAGTTTGAACTCCTTGTTCTACTCTTCCCCTCCTTCTCACTACTGCACTTGACTAGTCTGAGCAAAAAAAGAAGAAGAGAACTACACTACAGGAGAAACACATGAGGTAAATTTTCAGGATGAAAGAAAATGATCCCTGGTAGCTACACAGAACTGTAGGATAAAATGAAGAGGAAAGAGAGTCAATGTGTGGGTAAACAGAAATTAATACTGACAGTTAATAAACCAATAACAATATCATATAATTCATAACATATGAAAAAGTAAAATATATCATACCAACAGTACAAGGGCAGGAGATGGTAAATGGATTTAAACTGTCATAAGTTTTTTTATTTGGGAGGTTCATAAAAGTATTAGTCTAAAGTAGAACGTAATAAATCAAATATGCATTTTGTAATCACAAATCGAGGGTAAAATCTAAACAATAATTTAAAAGATATTAAAAACTACAGAAGAAAAATGAAATAACAAACTTTATTAATTCAATATAAAGTGGTAAAGGAGTAATAAAGGAACAGAAAACAGATGGGGAAAACAATAAATAACAAATGATAGGCTTAAATCCAGCAATTTCAATAATTAGTTTAGAGGTAGTATAAATATTCCAATACAAGAGTATTAAACTAGATTTTTAAAAGAAAACTAATGTTAAGCGTTTTCAAGAGACATACTTTATATATAAGGACACAGAAAGATGTAAATTAAAAAAGGAAAAATACATATCATGCAAACATTACCCTAAAGAAAGCTGGTGTAGTTATATTAATATCAAGTAAACTTTAAAGCAAGAAGTTTATACAAGATAAAGAGGGATTTATTTCATGACAATAAAAGTAACAATTCAACAGAAAGATATCAAAATCCTTAATCAGGCTGCGAATAGTTTAAAAATATATAAAGCAAAAGCTGAAAGAACTAAAGGAAGAGATGTAAATCTGAAATCATAATTGGAAATTTTAACATACTTCTTTCAGGAACCAATAGAACAAAAGCAAAAAGTGTTAGGCCTAAAAATTTAGTCTTGACTGCACTAATTGAACCAAAAGAATAGTTAAAGGATCTGAGAACCAGAGATGGCCTAAGAATAATCCTTTGCCAAAGTCTCCTCCAGAGTTCACTCCATAAGAGCTACTTCCAGTCCTCCTCTCCCCTTCATAACTAATAGGATGATGAAATCCTTTAACAACATGGTATGTGTGTTAGTCAGAGTTCTCTAGTTCTCGAGTTCACACGCGCACGCACACACACACACACACACACACACAGAGATTCATTATAAGGAATTGGCTCCTACAATTATGGAGGCTAGCAAATTCCAAGATCTGCAGGGTGAGTCAGCAAGCTAGAGACCCAGGGGAGCCAATGATGTAGTTCTAGTCTAAGTGTGAAGGCCTGAGATCCAGGAGAGCTGATGGTGTATTTCCAGTCTCAAGGCCAGCAGATTTGAGACCCAGGAAGAATCAATCGTTCAAGTACAAAGGCAGGAAAAAAGGTGATATCCAAGTTTGAAGGCCATCAGGCAAAAAGAATTCTCCCTTACTTGGAGGAGGGTCAACCTTTTTATTCTATTCAGGCCTTTAACTGACTGGACGAGGCCCACTCACATTGGAGAGTACAATCTGCTTTACTTAGTGTACCAACTTAAATGTTAATCTTATCCAAAAACACCCTCATAGA